AAGATTAGAGCGAATATTTGTATTAAAACAACACCATAAATTTTGTGATTTGTTGATAACATCGCATTAGCATCGCCTTACGCATGCCTAATTACTAGGCTGCACTAAAAGTATCGGGAATGGAATATTTCCAATGTTCCTGTCATATTAAAATCTTTTTAATTGAAAACTCATTGGTTTTAAAAATCGAATACCAAAGATAGATAGAAGAGGGAGAAGATTCTCGGTCTTGTCACAAGGTTTTGTCAAACTTCTTTAGTCGTTGAGAAAATATAATTGACTCGAGAAAATTCAAGAGCGATGATTTATTATGATTTTCGAAGCGGTTTAACACAAAAACAGTGTGTTGACCGGATGATTTCTGCATTTGGTGATGAAGCCCCATCCAAACCACAATTTATCGCTGGTTTGCTGAATTTCAACGCGGACGTGTCAAGCTGAGTGATGACCCCCGTCAAGGTCGTCCAAAAGCTGCAGTCACCCAAGAAAACGTTGATGCTGTGCGCAAGCTGATTGAGGAAGATCGACATGTGACATACCGCGAAATTCAGGCAACTTTAGACATTGGCACGAGTCAAATACCGAAATAATCTTCCGGGGAAACCGCATTGGGAAGGCAAAAACGTGCGGAACAAATTAGAGGTGTACCATACAAGACAAAAATTTCTACACGTTTGTCTCCAAAACCGGCCATGTTACGACTATTCCCCTTGAGGAACAAAGAACGGTTAATGCAGAATGGTATGCTAGCATTTGTTTGTCACAAGGCGTTTCTGAACTCCGTAAAGAGAACTGCAACCGCCGCATCATAATCCATCACGACAATGCGAGTTCTCACACAGCACACAGAACAAAAGAGTTTTTAGAGCAAGAAAACATAGAATTATTAGACCATCCGCCGTACAGCGCCGACCTAAGCCCTAATGATTTCTATACTTTCCCTAAAATAAAGAATAAATTGCGTGGACAGAGATTTTCATCACCTGAAGAAGCTGTGGATGCCTACAAAACGGCGATTCCTATAAAATTTTGTTGTTCGTAAATAGTGATGTTACATTGTTTATATAAATTCTTACTAATACTTTATTAAGGTTTTTATTGTGTTATGCATTGCATTATTTCGGTGTCATGGGTATGAGCAGTGAGCATATTATATGATTAAATAAATTTTACGGACACGGAGTCAAATAATATTAGGTAGGTACCTGCTCAGACATAATAAAAGGGAATCAAAGCAATAAAGGTTACATAAAGTACAATCTAGCGCCTGCAATCTCTCTCGGTAGGTAAACATGCAAATATCTCAGAGGGACATTATTACTTGACAGCTGGAGAACCCACTTTGTTATATATTGAATATAATAGCCCATCCGTGCCTTCTAATAATGCAATATACAAAAAAATTTAAGCATATTCTTTTGTCTCTAAGTAACCTTTTATAACACTCACTAATTTGACATTATTGCCTAGGAAAAACCAAAAAATAAGACAAATTTGGCTTGACTCTATTGGTGTAGAAAATATCAACCCAACAGAAAAACAAAACCACATATGCTCCCTGCATTCTGCAAAAGAATATATTAATAAAACTCTTGATGTAGTTAGGCTTTGTAATGATGCAGTGCAAACCATTTTTCCTGCTGTAAGTTTCTGGTTTTGTTACATTTTTACAACGAGCAATGTTTGTTACAAGCAAATATGAACAGTAGTTCTTTTAGAAGAAGTGATTTCTGATACTCATAGTTGCATATTAAGCATATTTTGACATACGTAATAATAGTTAGTTTTCAAAATATAGATATTTACCTACTTTATATTTATCAAACTACACATTGAACTCACCCAAAAGTATTCATTAGTGTTCCGAAATTTGAAATCATTAAAATAAACTACATATCTTTTTTCACGGACAGGGAAACTATTAGATATTATAAAATCTTTTCATAAACGGTTATAGAATTCTTCATAAATGAATATAAGAAATTCCACAAAATAATGTTGATCAAGATTAAAACGTTGTTTATGTGGAATTCACTTGAACTTTTTACAAAATTTGTAAATTGAGATAAATAACTTGCAATTACTCTTAATATAATAAAGCATAGGCCCAGTGCATAATGTAAAATATGCATCAGGTACGATGATTATGTTTTAAGAAAATTAAAATTAACAATATGGGTCCGAGTAAATCTGATTATTTTCCAAAGCTGTGCGTCAAACAATTCATGAGGACTACAAGGACATATTAACAACTATGATTTATAATATGAGGAAATACATATGTCATTAAAATTATTTTTCAGACCCAGTTAGCAAATAAAAGAAATATTCTGAAGAATGTTAATTCTCAAGAGCAGAGTAGAAACCGGGTAATTTTTTTTATCGCTTACACAATACTTTTACTATTATAAGTCTATGATACTTATCTATGTGTTTATCCGTAAATGAGATGTAAATAAGGAGAAACAATGAAGGCCATTGTATATCAGTCATTTAACACCTTAGTGTAATAAAGAGCGATTAAATCTACAATAGAAAGAAGAGGTTTATATATTACGTAATAAAACAAAGTATTACTTAAATATTTGTTAGTTTCATTTATCCAGTAAATAAACGAATAATAACTGTTTATTTGTTAGAGTCTCCTTCCATGGTACACCTACCTTATTTTAACATCGTTGATTCCCGAAATCAATGAAGCGAGGGACCGTATTGCCAAAATAGTAGCGCGAGCGATTCGCCGCCGTGTCTGTAATTTTCAGTTCGATGGTTGTTTGTGTAAGTAGAAGGAACTTGTCGTCACATGGCAATAACTACGACATTTTAATAATTGGCCTTCGAAGAAGCATGGCTTTCCATGGTCCACCCACCTTAGGTATGTACTTAGGAGACTATGCCAATATCAAGTTGAAGAATTAATATAAATTTTGTTCAAAAAAACTAAAAAATCTTACTTGGACTAAACCATGTTCTTTAAAAAGAAGGAACGTGAATCATCTGACTGATTCTAGAAGAAATTCGTAATGGAACATCTAGATGGTCAAATACAAGTATTTTTCGAAAGATCTCAGAAAAGTCTAATATTCTGTTATCTTGGTAAACCCCAAAAATACAACGAGTGTTGGGTAGTGGGAATGAGTATTATGAAGAAAAAAAACGCATTCTCACTACACACTCACCGATCAGCCAGTAGCATGGAGTACTATAACTAAAAAAGGAGTTCACGTGCGGTAGATGTGAAACTTTCGAATGAAATGAAATCTTTTTATAAAAAATCAATTGCCGCATACTAGCGGGTCATCACTTGAGGACGGCTGGACCTTTTGGATGGATGGATTTTGATGATTTTTTAATGTAATAAATTTAAAAAAATTAAAAATGCCGGGGGGGGGGGTGTTATTAGCTCATAAATAGAACCCCATCCTGTCAAACAATTCCGGGCTAGTAACTGACAAGCCCAGAAATATAGCTAATTCTAGAGTAACTAGCTTGCTAACTTACAACACGCGCAAGTTGCTGTCCGTGCATTACGTATCGAAACGTATTAACCGATATTTAACCGATAAAACAGGAGCAACAATCCGCTGGCGGTTGAATTCTCGCCAAAATCGTCTAGCATCGCCATAGAGAAAATATAATTTTGCGTAATATAAATAAATAAAAATACATATTATAGGTATTAAAATTTGATATTCTTCACATCACTAAAAAAATGGGCGGAGCTTACAGCGTCCGCCATTTATTGTTTCAATTTGACACGATTTTCTTGTAGGCTTGCCATCTCCTGTATTTTCTATGCTCAAAGTTCTACACACACTTACACAATACATCGAAACATATATGTCGCAGGAATATCGCACACCCAGATCAAAACTGAGTCAACTCGAACAACGCGAATTTGGAGTTATCTTTATACTCGAATGCTGGGTGAACCCATGCAACTATCCAACATAACAGGTGGTACAAGAAAGCCTTGAAGGAAAATTCGCTAGATGGCGACAGCTGTCTTTTGTTGAATCGACGCATGTTACCCCCTCCCACCTAAACAAGTGTATTGTCAGTTGACCTTCGCTAGTCTTAGAGAGTGCATGTATTAACCTGAACGAAAACACGGATATTTAGTTTTGTTACAGTTTTGATGAAAAGAGTACGTGAGTTAATTTGAGTTGTTACAGTTTTGGTGAATAGTTCTGCTACATTACTTAGAGATATTTCGACTTGTTCCAGTTTTGTTTGACCAGGTACGTAATTATTTTGTAACTATTTTGACTTGACTTTGTTTAGATGAATCAACATGTTAATTTCTAGTTAACCTACTATTGTTGAAACAAATTTATTTTCATGTTTTTTTATACTAAACCTGTCATTTTACATGTTTTACTTGAAAAATCTTGTATTATTTTATACTGACCGTTTTAAAAGTATACTGTTTTTAATAAATCTATATGCCACATTGTTTTAAAAGGTTTTGTTTGAGTTAACTTACTTTTTGTGGCTATGTATAAAAGTAATACAATAAACTTTTTTGTTTCAGAAAAAAATTAAGCGAAGCCGTATTCTTGTTAATATTATAAAACAAAGATATCAAGAGAACCTATTAACAATGAATGAACAAGAGTCGGCAAAGTTTATAAATGTAGAAGCTCAAAATAATAAAGAAAATAGGTCAATAAACACTGCCTTGCTAACAAAACCATGTATTAACCAACAAAATGAAATATCTTAACATACAAAGTGATAAGGGTCTAATAGATAACTCCTGCAGATTGTGTTCGACAAAAAGACAAAAAAAAAGACGCCTAACGCAATTCCAAATTTAGAAAGGTATGAAGAAAACTTACTAATAGTCAATGAAGGAGAGACGGCCACATCTTCGAACTTTGAACAACAGAGGAGCAAAGAGCACACGCCAATAGATACTGCCTTACTGACCAAATCATGCAATATGCAGCAAATTGAAAATGATCTTTACATGTCGTCAAGTGATCAAAGTCTTATGGATGAAGAATCAAGAAGATACTGATCCGAGCTATGTCCGTCAAAAAATGAAGAAACTACCCCCGAAAGTAATTTTTAATTCATCTTTATCTTCTTCAAGTGATACTAGCTCATCTAGCACTTCAAATTCTAGTACTAGTTCTAACAGTAGTTCTGATTCTGAAACTGAAACCAGGGATATTATCGATGCTGTTACACAGACTCAAAATCAAGATATTGTTAATGAAGGTCGCAAGGGTCATCCCAGTAAAAATAACAAGGATCAGCCCGATGAAGATCGCAATGGACAGCCTAATGAAGATTGCAATGATCAGCCCAACGAAGATTACAATAACCAGCCTTATGAAGAAGGAAAAAAAGGAAAGAAGAGGCTAAGAAGAGAACCGACTTGGAAAGTAAATATTTGTAAAGTTCTGAGGAATTCTGGTAAGGCCTATGCCCTCGTCCACAGTGCGAGCCTAGTGCGGTTGCGACGACGGGCGCGAATTATCAAACATATGAAACCGCTGTTTGCGTCCATAGTGTAGTGACTAAGGCGGACGCCTAGCGCGACGGGCATGAGTGAGATAGCGCGCGTAGTTTTCAAACGTTCCTATCCGCGCGTTTTGGCCACACTACAGGCCTAGTCATGCCAGTTCGGTCTTACCGCTCGGCGTAAGCGCGTCTTCATTATTTTTGTTAAAATGGCGATAAATACTGAAGTGTTTATATGTGCGATTCAATCTAAACCAGCTTTATGGCAAAGTAAACATCCCCACCACTGTAATCGCACAATAACAAGAAAATTATGGAGTGAAATAAAAGAACAATTTCCTGAAAGCGAAGGTAAGTTTAATAATTATATTATTTTACTTTATTAAATAATGCACTCAAATTACAATCTTTGATATTGTTCCCAGAAATAGTTTGTGAATTTTATACGAACATTTTTTGCTCTTCGTGATGGGTTATTATTTACTCCAAGGCTTCTGTGGCGATTTTCATATATTGGCGGGTTAGATAGCACACGTTGGACATCCAGATCGAGATCGCCGTTTAAATCCATTATGACATTATGCAGTATACACGCAGCTTTTATAATAGACAAGGCATTTTTTATGTTTGTTTCGATAGGTTTCAGTAGTATTCTCCATTTAGATGTTAAAATACCAAATGCGCATTCGATTGTTTGTCTAGCGGTAGAAGATATATATATAGCTTTCATTATTGAGTACTCGCTTAGGACAAGGGCGCATTAAATAAGCATTAACGCATATGCTTCATCACCCACTAGCAATGACGTCAGAATTCGGAAGTCTCTTTGGCATTGTAATTTTGTATTTATTTTTTTCTATAAGCTTATACAGAGTTGATGCAATAAAAGTACCACCATCACTTTACTTGCCTCGACCGCCTACTTCGATTGTCACAAATTTCCTTTTTGCATCAGCCACAGCTTGCATTACAACACTATTTCTTTTTTTATAGCACCAATGTGCCGAACCAGACTTAGGTGATTTTTTTTATTTCGCAGTGTTCGCCATCAATTGCTCCTATACAGTTCGGAAAATTCCAGATGACTTCCAAGTCGTCTGCAATAGTTTTCAGATGTTGTTCCGTTGGTATCGGCATGTGAATAGATACTAACTCGGTCCATAAAACACGGCATGTTTCGTGAACGACGGATGCAATAGCGCTTTTCGCCACACGATAACAGTGCCCAGTGCTCTAAATGCAGTTCATGTTGACAAAAACCTGAAACAAAACACATAAAAATATAATATTATTGTTACAGAAAAACAATTGCGTAAGAAGTGGAAGAATCTGCGCGATCAGTTTCGAAAAGAAAAAAAGAAAATCCCTAAGCCGCGTTATGGTGACGGTGGCGAGGAAATAGAGAGTACGTGGCCATACTTTGAACTAATGCAGTTTATAAACGATGACATTACACCAGAAGTGATGACAGGAAATCTTCAGGACAGAGACTCGGAATCCCTCAACGAGTCAAATCATGCCGAGCCGAATGCCGATGCCGAAAATTTCGCTAATTGAACAAAAAATGGCGTCAAATAGTGACCAATCGGATAAATGTGGCGATTATCATTTCTTTATGAGTCTCCTGCCACAAATGAAACAAGTTAATGAATTACAAAAGTTACGCATTCGAAATAAAATTACCCAAGTTATAATAGACGAAGCAGAGTGGATACAGTTTTCTCATCATCCGAGATATGAGGATAACTATGGAGAATATTCTAGTAGAAACTACGACCACAGTAATTATTAATTTCATTATGACAACTTTATACTTAAACTACTTACATAAATGTTAATTTTAATAAAATATTGTTTTATTCTTACCTCCGAGTTATGAACAATTTCTCTAGTGATTTTAGGTGATATTTTACTCAGGACGTAATCAAATGTTGACACGGACATTCGAGTATACTCAAAGAATTTTCTAGGGTACAATCTCAATTCTTCATACAAATTAAAAAATTCACCATTTATTTGTCGGTTTTTATTTATTTCGTGCACACCCTCTCTAATGTTCAAAATTTCCCATCTCAGGATCGGACTGTCTAGTAGAAATACTAAATCCTCGTCCATGGTTTACAACACGTGTAATACGTCTAAGCACTCCAACAGCTCGCTCGTCACTGTGGCCACGGCACGCGCCCGCCGTCGCGTCCGCAACAGGCTCAAGTCGCTGCGCATTCACTGTGGACGCACACTATCAGTCTTTATCAAAAACAAAGAAACTTGTTCGTGAAAGGAAGGTTCGCACGACTTGCGGCGAAAAATGCAGATTACGTTGTAATATGAAGATAAACGAAGAAACACGACAAAATATTTTTGACGCTTATTGGGCCTCGGTGATCTTCAGAGGCAGAGGGAGTATATTATCAGTCATACTTACAGGTATTCTAGCACACAAGAATATAGAAGTCAATAAAGCATTTTATTTTGAAGTTACTGGCAATAAAATCAGAGCATGTAAGGCTTTTTTTAAAAGTACATTAGATTTAAGTAACACGGCTATTAATACTGCACTCACAAAAAATGCTTCCGGTATTGTGGCCAATGATTTTAGAGGGAAACACGGAAAGCAACCCAAAATTGATACTGAAATTAAAGTCAGTGTTACGGAGTTCATAAATAGTATCCCAAGGATTGAGTCTTGAGAGCCTGAGAGCGCAGACATCACGGCAGTTTATTTGCAGTGACAAATCTCTTGCTGACTTATATCGTGATTATAAAGAAGCTCGTGAAAAGAAACAGCTTTCGCCACAAAGTCAACATTTAACAGGATATTTAATACAGAGTTTAATATTTCTTTTTTTGTTCCGAAAAAAGATCTTTGCGACCTCTGTGAGAGCTTTAAAAACGCTAATGAAGAAGAGAGATTTGAAATACAAAGAGAGTTATGAACAACATCTTTTAGAGAAAAATTTTGCAAGAGACCACAAAGAAAAAGACAAGAACAGAAATGACGGAGTAATTGTAGCAGTATAGGATTTACAAGCTGTTATGCAGGTTCCAAAGGGTCAAGTTTCCTTGTTTTTCTACAAATCCAGAATTAATTGTTTAAATTTCACAATAAGTGATCTGTCGACAAAAGGTGTAATATGCTACTTCTGGGATGAGACTGAAGGGAAAAGGGGCGCTGTAGAAATAGGCTCATGTGTTCTAAAGTATATTGACACTTTATTAGATAAAAATCCTGATAAAGACATCAATACTGTCTTCTATTCCGACAATTGCTGTGAGCAGCAAAAAAAATAAATATTTACTTTCTGCTTATGCTTATGCTGTTGTCACTAAAAGAGTTGCGTCGATATCGCACACATTTCTTATACGTGGTCATTCTCAAAATGAGGGTGACAATGTTCACAGCGTCATAGAAAGACAAATAAAAAGGCACATTAAATCTGGTCCAATATATACCCCCCACAACAGTATTGCACTTTGATACGTACAGCTAAAAAAACGGGCAGTCTCTACCTAGTGGAAGAGATGACGTTTGAACAGTTCTACGATACTAAAACCTTGCAAGAAGAGTGGGGTACCAATTTCAATTTAGATGAAGACCGTAATCAAGTTAAATGGCACGACATTAAAATCTTAAGGGTGGAAAAGGAGAAACCGGGGGCATTCTTCTATAAAACGTCATTTGCAGATGAAAATTATAATAAGGTGTTTGTGCGCAAGCGCCGAAATGATCAAAATGATATCAAAGATGATCAGATAGGATTTACAGGGCTTACACAAGCCTACACTCATAAAATACCACTCTCTGAGGCAAAGATGAAAGACATTAAGGATCTAATAAAAAAAAAAACACGTAATCCCACAGGTTTATGTAGATTCATATTTTAAAAATGTAGTTGGTAATAATAAGTAATTGCTTTTGTTAATTGAGTGCTTAATTTTAAAACCTGGATGTACCTTTTAAGTTCAAATCTATAAGAATTTAACATTTTATTTTGATTATATAGTAATAAGAGACTGGTGTTTTTAAAGGTGGGCAAAGTGATATCCACGTAATTTTAATTGTTCATCTCGAAAATACCAAATTATAATTAGAAGTGTAAAATTATTTTATGTAGTAGATTCTATTCTTATTTTTTTATAAACAAGATTATAAAATCTTATCATTTAAGTACATGAAAAAACCTGTCATTTTGAAATGTTTACCTTCTTTGTTACTTCCTGTAAATTTTAATATTTTGAGACATACTTTGTAATTTATTATTAGCTTCAAATAACATGAGAGCCTTGGTCCCAATTTAATTTTGAAAATATTTTTTTGGTTCTTAAATACCATAGTGTAATAACAAAATCATTCCCTTAATTATACAATACATTGATGCATAATTTTTGTGTTTTAGTTTATGTTGTTTCTTTTGTAATGTATATTTTTAATTTTATATTCTTTTAAATTAGTTTTGTTTGAAGAATCGTAACCTTAATTTTTGTTCTAATGTAAGTTCAATTCAAAATGGTTCAATAAAACTGCTTCAAGTCTAAATGTGATCTTATTTGTAAACAAAGTCACCGCCCTAAAGTGTAACAACTCAAAAAATACTGATTATCGGTAAAAAGGCTCGACTTTTAGCCCCAGTTTACATGCGGTGATATTTTCCTACGTATTTATAATGTAAAACAATATTAAGTTTTCTAACTTCCCTAACAAAAAATGCAGTAACACGTTTTCTTCGTCTCCTGAAAAATGACCTTTTTTGAGTTGTCTCAGTGATCTAGGTGTGCGATATGATAAAAACAGTGATATGATCAAGGTGATCAAATCACTGTATGTATCAGCCCGCACACGGCCTCAGGTAGTTCTAAACACTATTAAAGACGAACGCACGCACTTTTGAGTATAATTTTACCAACGCACAACCAAGTTTTTGATATTAACCTCTCAACTGCGGATGTCCAAGACTTGGACACGAAAATATCTCCGTTGACTGCGGGCGTCCAAGTGTTAGCATTTTTTACCCGCTCTTTTAATGAAGAAACAAAGCATTATGCGCTATTTCTAACTCATTCTACCATATGTCAATGTGTACAGGATAAAAAAGGCTAGCATAAAAACCCCACAGCTTATACACTTTAGTAGTATATTTTATTTAAATTATTCTTAAATGTCGTCCGTTCCTTGAGTCAGCCATTAGTGTGATTGACGCGCGCTAACAACGAAGTTGTTTGTAATTGTTTTGTATTAATTTATATTTATTGTGTGGTGAATTGTGGTAAAACAATGCCTGGGTAAGTAATCTTCTTATTTGTAATCTCATTTTGTGTTTTATCTTATTAAGCGTACTTAACCTTCTACTACTACATTTTGTGTTTTATCTTATTAAGCGTACTTAATAAGATAAAACACAAAATGAGATTACAAATAAGAAGATTACTTACCCAGGCATTGTTTTACCACAATTCACCACACAATAAATATAAATTAATACAAAACAATTACAAACAACTTCGTTGTTAGCGCGCGTCAATCACACTAATGGCTGACTCAAGGAACGGACGACATTTAAGAATAATTTAAATAAAATATACTACTAAAGTGTATAAGCTGTGGGGTTTTTATGCTAGCCTTTTTTATCCTGTACACATTGACATAATTTATAATTTTACACGTATGTAAAATTGTTTTTTAATATGTATGAAGCAAACTGCTATCTTAAAACTAACATGCTGGTTGACGAGAGTTGACTTGAAATGTACGTAAAATTTTAGTGTTGACTGTCAGTTTTGTGTTAAAATATGTATAATTATTCATCGTTCACAGTGTGGATAATGTGCAATATTTTCAAAATTTTAATGTATATACGCAATAGGTGCAATAGTGTCCATTTTTGAGACGTCCGTAGAAGTGAATTCTAGTTCTCTTTTTTGCGGGTGGCGAAAAAAGGAACTAAAGTTTACCATACTGCATCAAGTTCAAATTCGGTTGAATGGTTAGAATGGTAAAGAATCTAGCGCCCTCGAGCAGAGAAATGGAGCTTGGTTGACTCCACGATTATTCGATGATTTATAAAAAATTGAATGTGGCATTTGGATATGTCATGTATGTTAACACAAGACTTCGGAATTTTTTAAACAATTTATTAAAACAGAAAGTTAGATAGTATTTACATAATATGCTTTTTAATATTTTTATTTTAATATTTTTTAATATTTGAAATTTTTATTTTTTTAATTTAATATGAACAGGTTGTGGTTTTTAAGGTCACCTCAGACACATATTTCTTATACTGGTTTTTTTAATGTACATTTTATCTGTATTTACTTTGCAAATCGTGTAACGTTGCGTTATGTTTCAACCTATAGCAAGATTGCTGCTACCTACAGTACCATTCGTAAATGAATTGTACTGTAGATACAGTAAATCCAACAAGTACCAGGAGCCTTTTAAAGAAATAAGTACCTATGTTATATATTTATTCAATTTTATACTTATGTCCATCCATCCATTTAGTTTTTATTGTTGCCTAGCTATAATTTGTTCAGCTAATTATTTCAGACTATCATCGTCGAAATTGTTAAGTTAGTTAAGTTACACAGCCGATTTCCGTCCCACTGCTGGGCCTTCCCTCAGTTCTGAAAGAGTTTTACGGCAAAGAAGTATCCACCGCGCTGCCCATATGCGTGTTGCCGAACTGCACATGCCTTGGAAATATTTTTTTTTTATTTCTCAGACAGTCAGACTTCCTCATGATGTTTTTCTTCACCGCCGAGCAAAGGTAAATCAGCACTTAAAATTGTAATTAATAATTTCATTGATGCCGGCGGGGATCGAACCCGGTGTGCTAGCGTACTGTGAAATTTAACGCGAGAGCTAACAATCTGAGCTACCAGGGCTCTCTCATCGTCGAAATGAATACTTAAGTTAGTTAATTTACAGCCTTTTACGCCCCACAGCTGGACAAAGGCAAAGAAGTTTCCGTCGGGCTGCCAAAATGCGTGTTGGCGAACTTCACATGTCTTCGAAATATTTTTTTTCTTATTTCACAGACGTGCATGTTTCCTCACAATGTCTTTCTTCACCGCCGAGCACGTGGTAGATCAGCACTTAAAATTGCAATTAACAATTTCATTATTGCTAGCGGGGATCGAACACGGCTTGCTAGCGTGAAATTTACAGCGAGAACTAACCATCTGAGCTACCACGGCTCTTCCGAGCCACCACGGCTCTCATCGTTGAAATGAATACACCTCTTTATTTTGTATGTTTTTTTTTCTATAGGATAGGGTGATAAACGAGCACGCAGTCCACCTGTGGTGGTTTCTGCGGCCCATAGACATCTACATCTATCCTCGATTACAAATCAAAATGCAAAAATGCGTGTCACCCGTGATGACTAAGATGGAACGCCTCGTTTCCAGCAAAAAGGCTCTCCGGTTCTCTACACTCACCATACGAAACACAGAACCATTAAGCTATTATTTCACGCTGGTATTCTGTGAGAGCGTGGTCCTTCCCCGGTCGAGCCGGCCTATTCGTGCTACAGCTATACTACTAATATAACTGCAGCATGGCTCTACCACGTACAAAAAATGTTTTAATGAACTAGTACATGATGCACAAAAAAGTGCAGAATCGAACTTTAATTGTGGCATATTTTTGTATAATGCATAAGAAGTGGGTTCTTTAAAAATATACATAAATAATATTTTTTTTATTTCAGAAAGAGATATATTTATTTTAAATTTTATTATTTCGTAGCTATTGTTTGTGTTAAAGGAAATATGTTACCGTTTGGAGAAATAATGTTATTGGTTATTGGAAATGTAACATAACCTCTGCGCACCTCGCGGCGCCTCTGTCACTCGATACATATTATGGTGCATTGGGTATTATTTACAAAAAACGTTATTTATAACTCTACATCAGCGGGAGTAACCCTTGAGTGGTTTTATGGTTTTTAAAGGAATGAATGAATCTTTATTTCTGTACAAGTGCTGTTAAAGTTTGTTTGCTCAAATAAAGTAATTAATTTTTCAATAAATATGGCACTTACGACTAAAATTTTGATATCGGCATTAAGAGTACTTATGAAATACTTTATCGGATTTCTAAAATATTCTATTGAATTATAAAATATTGAATATAAAAATTTCTATTGAAAGATGACTGAATCATGTAAAGAAAAAGAGAGATTCAAGACTGAATCATTGTAATGAAATAAAAAAAACTATTTTTATTGACTAAAGCATTACGCCGCATTATGCCGCATCTGGTCCGAACTACATGCTACATCGGTGTAAATTGATTGTGGGTTCTTGTAAGCTTAGCGTTTTACGATAAAAAATTGTATTGTAGCCTATGATTTTGCATATAAAATATTGTAAACAATAGACGTAAGATTAAAATAAAATAAAATTGAACTATTAAAAAACTTTGTGTCATTGATAAATATGATAGTTTTGACTTTATTCTATATTTAGTTATACTAACCACTTTAAACTTTATTAAATATATGTACTCGTTTATAGGAAATTTCATAGAGAATTCAGAAATGTATACATATTATAGTATTCGATATACCAAAATCAAGATATTTACGTTTAAACGGTTTGGGCCCAATCAGCCGTCCATTTTATTAAACAGCTCCGCAGTCAACGGAGAATTACGGTTAGAGTCTCCGCAGCTGAAAGGTTAAAAAGAAAGTCAACTTCTGACTCAGTGGTTAAGATAGTGCCTCCAAATGAATTTTATGCTATACTTTGTAGGACCCATCAAGCGACGGGCCACGGAGGCAGAGATAAAATGCTGTACAATTTGAAATCCAGATATTTAATTCCCACTTTTGTTGTATTAGAATTTTTGAAACTGTATACGGTATGTCAATCTAAAAAGAAATTCCCAAGAAAAGCAATTGTTGTTTGCCCGATTGTCTCTAATGATTTTAACCATCGCGGCCAGGTTGATTTGATTGACCTACAGTCAACCCCCCGACAGGAATTATTAATAGCGATTACATTATCAAGATCACGCAACAAAATTTAGTTTTCTGCGACCATTTGTGGCAGCGCTGTCGTCGCGCCACAAGCGAAACACACCGAAGCCTAAATCGCGCTATCAAAATTCCAAATCATAAACAGTATATATAGAACATCTCCGAACTGTCACGGAGTGTTGGCCGCTCCCCGGGCAGAACACCTTGCCCGGCGGGAGATCTCCCCTTTTCCTTCCACGGCCACAGTGGTGACCACCCGACGTGATCTGAACACGCAACCAACAACCTTCGGAAACTTCAAGCTTCATCATCGTCATAGAATACCCTCGTGACCATGGGTGCTGTAAAGCGCACGAAACGTCGGGTATTTATAGTTAAATATACGCGATAAAATCCTTAAAAACTAGTATTATTTCAATATAATAGAAGAAGTGATTTCTGATGGTCATAGTTGCATATTAAGCATATTTTGACATACATAATATTAGTTAGTTTTCAAAATATAGATATTTACCTACTTTATATTTATCAAAATAAACCACATATCTTTTTCACGGACAGGGAAACTGTTAGATATTATAAAATCTTTTCATAAACGGTTATAGAATTCTTGCTTTATTAAATAAATATAAGAAATTCCACAAAATAATGTTGTTCAAGATTAAAACATTGTTTATGTGGAATTCATTTGAACTTTTTACAAAATTTGTAAATTGAGATAAATAACTTGCAATTACTCTTAAAATAATAAATCATAGGCCCAGTGCATGATTAAATGTAAAATATGCATCAGGTACGATGATTATGTTTTAAGAAAATTAAAATTAACAATATGGGTCCGAGTAAATCTGATTATTTTCCAAAGCTGTGCGTCAAACAATTCATGAGGACTACAAGGACATATTAACAACTATGATTTATAATATGAGGAAATATGTCATTAAATTTATTTTTCAGGCCCAGTTAGCAAATAAAAGAAATATTCTGAAGTGTTAATTCTCAAGAGCAGAGTAGAAACCGGGTAATTTTTTTATTGCTTACACAATACTTTTATTATTATAAGTCTATGATACTTATCTATGTGTTTATCCTTAAATGAGATGTAAATAAGGAGAAACAATGAATGCCATTGTATATCAGTCATTTAACACCTAAGTTTAATAAAGAACGATTAAATCTACAATAAAAAGAAGGGATTTATATATTACGTAATAAAACAAAGTATTACTTAAATATTTGTTAGTTTCATTTATCCAGTAAATAAACGAATAATAACTGTTTATTTGTTAGAGTCTCCTTCCATGGTACACCTACCTTATTTTAACATTGTTTATTCCCGAAATCAATAAAGCGAGGGACCGTACTGCCAAAATAGTAGCGCGAGCGATTCGCCGCCGTGTCTGTAATTTTCAGTTCGATGGGTATTTGTGTAAGTAGAAGGAATTTGTCGTCACATGGCAATAACTACGACATTTTAATAATTGGCCTTCGAAGGAGCATCGCCTTCCATGGTCCACCCATTTTAGGTAGGTACCTAGGAGACTATGCCAATATCAAGTTGAAGAATTAATAAAAATTTTGTTCAAAAAAACTAAAAAATCTTACTTGGACTAAACCATGTTCTTTAAAAAGAAGGAACGTGAATCATCTGACTGATTCTAGAAGAAATTCGTAATGGAACATCTAGGTGGTCAAATACAAGTATTTTTCGAAAGATCCCAGAAAAGTCTAATATTCTGTTATCTTCGTAAACCCCAAAAATACGAGTGTTGGGTAGTGTGAATGAGTATTATGAAGAAAAAAACGCATGCTCACTACACACTAACTGATCAGCCAGTAGCATGGAGTACTATAACTAAAAAAGGAGTTCACGTGCGGTAGATGTGAAAGTTTCGAATGAAATGAAATCTATTTATAAAAAATCAATTGCCGCATACTAGCGGGTCATCACTTGAGGGCGGCTGGACCGATTTTGATGATTTTTTTTAATGTATTTATATGTTATTGTAAATATAATGATTGGCGTTAAATATAATAAATCCTAAAGTAGTTTTCACTTCAAAAATATACTAGCTTAAAAGATGCCCTTATTATTAGCCCAAAAATAGAACCCCATCCTGTCAAACCATTCTGGGCTAGTAACTTACAAGCCCAGAAATATAGCAAATTCTAGAGTAACTAGCTTGCTAACTTACAACAAGCGCAAGTGCTGTCCGTGCATTACGTATCGAAATCGTCTTCAAACTGTTATTTAACCGATAAAACAGAAGAAACAATCCGCTGGCGGTTAAATTCTCGCCAAAATCGTCTAGCATCGCTAGTCAATAGAGAAAATATAATTTTGCATAATATAAATAAATAAAAATACATATTATAGGTATTAAAATTTGATTGTCTTCACATCACTAAAAATGGGCGGAGCTTACAGCGTCCGCCATTTATTGTTTCAATTTGACACGATTTTCTTGTAGGGTTGCCATCTCCTGTATTTTCTATGCTCAAAGTTCTACACACACTTACATCTAATACATCGAAACATAAAGTCGCAGGGATATGATAAAAACAGTGATTTGATCAAGATGATCAAATCACGGGGGATGTTAAAATAACAACTCGATTTTATCATTTCCCTAAGCAAATATAGTGATTTGAACAAATCTCTAAATTGATTAAGTGAAATGATAATAAAACATGTCCAGTTCTTGTTTACGTCACGTTCGCACTTGCTTGTCAGTGACGCACGCGGCCTCAGATGGTTCTAAACACTATTAAAGACGAACGCACGCACTTTTGAGTATAATTTTACGAAAATTATAGAGAATGGCTTTGAATATGGGACAAAATCAGCCTTGTACTGAGGTTGTGTGTGAGGAACAGTTTAATGAAGCTATTATGACGATTTTAGAGGGGCGGCATGATAAGGAAAAACCGTTAGTACTCAAGAGAGAATAGAAGAGGCGATTACATCGGTTGAACAATTTAAATCAGATCCAGTACTGAATCTTAAGAGAACAAACAAGCAACATTATTACGGTAACAAATGGAGGAAGGCGCACAACCAAGTTATTGATATTAAAAAGAAAGTTAGCTTCTGACTCAGTGGTTAAGATAGTGCCTCCAAATGAATTTTATGCTATACTTTGTAGGACCCATCAAGCGACGGGCTACGGAGGCAGAGATAAAATGCTGTACAATTTGAAATCCAGATATTTAAATCCCACTTCTGTTGTATTAGAATTTTTGAAACTGTGTACGGTATGTCAATCTAAAAAGAAATTCCCAAGAAAAGCTATTGTTGTTTGCCCGATTGTCTCTAATGATTTTAACCATCGCGGCCAGGTTGATTTGATTGACCTACAGTCAACCCCCGACAGGAATTATTAATAGCGATTACATTATCAAGATCACGCAACAAAATTCAGTTTTCTGCGACCATTTGTGGCGGCGCTGTCGTCGCGCCACAAGCGAAACACACCGAAGCCTAAATCGCGCTATCAAAATTCCGAATCATAAACAGTATATATAGAACATCTCCGAACTGTCACGGAGTGTTGGCCGCTCCCCGAGCAGAACACCTTGCCCGGCGGGAGATCTCCCCTTTTCCTTCCACGACCACAGTGGTGACCACCCGACGTGATCTGAACACGCGACCAACAAGCTTCGGAAACTTCAAGCTTCATCATCGTCATAGAATACCCCACCCATTCGCTCCCGAGCAGATATCGTCTGCAGTCTTCATATCATGCAAGCCATCTAGCTTCACAAGGTTCATCGCAGCACTGGAATAATAATGCTTCCTTTCCTCAGCTACTCTTTGCGCTTCAGTATTCGGCACGGCTCTGAGCCTTACTGCTCGCCTCTGCTTCACGGCAATCTCGCAGATTACTTGCCTTCTTCTCGACTCACCGCAGACTACAAGGCAATCTCCTGGCACTTGCACATTTGTCGGCAACGACGCTGCACTACCGACCTCCGGTCTGAGCAGGGGGGTGATGTGGCGGCGCTGTCGTCGCGCCACAAGCGAAACACTCGGTTGTTAAGCCTAAATCGCGCTATCAAAATTCCGAATCATAGACAGTATATATAGAACATCTTCGAATTATCACACGGATTGTTTGCGGCTCCTCGGGCAGAACACCTTGCCCGGCGGAAGATCTCCCCTTTTCCTTTCACGGCCACACATTGACTTCAAAAAGAGCAGCTGAAGTAGCAATGGAACTTTTAAAAATTTTCCTGGAAGTAGGTTGTCCCCATATACTACAAAGTGACAATGGCCGTGAGTTTACTACTACAATCATTCAAGAATTAACTACCATGTGGCCAACATGCAAAATTATTAATGGTAGGCCTAGACATCCAGCGAGTCAAGGGTCAGTTGAGCGTGCAAACCAAGATGTCGAAGCGATGTTACGGGCTTGGTTAATTGACAATGACAGTAAAAATTGGGCAATCGGCTGTTTGTTCAATTACAAAAGAATTCCTCCTTTCATCGTACCATTAAGCGTTCACCTTTCAAGGCGTTAATTTTAACAGAACCAAAAACAGGACTCCGATCTACTCATATTTCAACAGAATTACTTGACAAGTTAGTTACCGAAGAAGATTTGGATCAGCTTTTTTAACAGCATAACGTATTAGCTACTGAATCAATTGATAACAACGCTACACCTTCTGAGGAACAACTAACTATTGAACCGAATGAAGATAACACTTCGACTTCAGCTATTTTAACACATGAATTATCAGCTGAACCACCTGTTGTATCAAAAAGTGAATCGGTTGTGAGAGTACAAGAAATTAATTGTATTGTTTTGGGACAAGAATCTACAGGAGCACATTCATGTGACATTTGCGGAAATTCCGTGCATGCAATATGTGGCATTACGACAAGCGAAGGATAAGGGTCGGGAGTTCTATGCTTATTATTCCAAAAAGAAGATAACATTAAAAAGCAAAGGGAAGATGCTTCACAAAATTTAAAAAGATCTACCGATAAAATGAAAGAAACTTGTTCGAAGAAATTCAAGGATGTATTAGTTGGTTCCAACGTTTTGGTTGATGTACCAAAAGTAGACATAGGTCCACTAGATACATATACAGGGATTGTATTAGATCCGAAAAACAATTTATTTCAAATCGGTACTTCAGTTGGCATCATAAGAGATTGGCTTCCTAGAAACGCTCTTCAATTATCTACAGTTACATTAACCGATTTAGTTCCATCGACTAAGCTGAGTTTGCGTGAAATTGCAGGAAAATTATCTTTATTTGGAGGTCAAGGATTCAAACAGTGTTCTTGCCAAGAGTCCAAAATACGATGCAAAACGAATAAATGTGCCTGTAAGAAAAATAATATTCTGTGTAATCCACGTTTCCACAAATCTGCTACGTGTTTTAATAATAATAATAATATATTTTTATTTACTCTCACAATTTAAATTAACAAGTTAGAGTATAAACAGTGTACACTATGAGCTGAGAGTCTGGTGTCTATACTAGGCGGAAGCCTGTGTTACGGATCACCAGGGTCTCCCCCCTCAGGATATTATCAACATAACTTACTTAACAAGTTTAACAAGTTATTTGTTTGATTAACAATTGAGAGATATTGTATTATTAGTTACTTTTGTGTTGTGTGTGTATGTATGTGTGTGTATGTATGTGTGTGAATGAGTGTGTGTGTGTGTGTGTGTATCTATGAGTTGTGTATGTATGTATCATCTATCCAGTACTAAAACGATGTATATGAAATAAGAAGGTTTTCAGTGATCTCATAGTCCAGACTTAACAACCATTGAGTTACTTTTAATTTGCAAGTGCGTTTATTAAGATATATACCAATTCTAACGTTTTCTTTATTATATAGAAAATTACCCAGAAAACAAAAAATTTATGTGAAAATTTGGTGCAATGCGTGTTGTAGTAACAGACTAGATCATTTCTGCGCTTATCTTTTATCAATTGTAAATTATAGTGTAAGAGTGAGTGCTTTTTAATGATACATTGTAGAATAAAGAGCTGCCTGACAGATAGGACTTTCCAATGTTTGTATAGGTCGACAGTAGGGTAAAGAAAGGGATGTGAGGCGGATACTTTTAGTAAAGCTCTCTGTGCTCGTTCCAGTTTTATTATTTTTGTTTTGTCCTTTCAGAACCACTCCAAGTTCTTATGCAGTATGTGATATCAATCGATTGACATAAGGCAAAGTAAATTATTTTGATGACTTTTGAGTCAGCTATGTGTCTAAGGTGTTTAAAAATGTATATTAACTTTCTTACTCTAGTTGTTAACATGTTTATGTGGCTATGAAAACTGAGTTTGTTATCAATAATTACTCCAAGATATTTTATATTATCTACTCTCTCAATAACACTGCAATGACATTGTGACGTTTTCAGCTTTGAACATGTATGTACTCTTAATGAATATTGGGAGTTAATGTTATTTGTTGAACGCATGGTAAGTCATATTTTTTTTTTTGTATATTTAATGTTAAAATGTTGTTTTTTAGCCAGTCAGATACTTTATTTAAGCCTTCTTGAGCGTTTGCATATACTTCTTGCCACGTACTTGCATGAAAAAGGAGGGCTGTATCGTCAGCAAAACTTAGGATCTTACCTTGTGTAACTTTTATGTCGAGGAGATCGTTAATGTATGTTAAAAACAGTGTAAGACCGAGTACACTTCCTTGTGGTACGCCAAATGATATGTTAAGTGCTTCACTAACATGATTATCAACCCTAACTTGCTGAGTTCTATTTGTTAGATAGTCTTTTATAAGATCTAAAGGTATGCCTCTAATGCCCATATAATCTAATTTATTCACAAGCAGTGGAATGTAGACGGTGTCAAACGCTTTTGCTAGATCTAAGAATATAGCTAAGACTTTTTGTTTCTTATCAAGATTTTTTACGACAAAATCAGTGAGTTCATGTACGGCATCTGCCGTTGATTTATTGGAGCGAAAACCAAATTGATATTGTGATAATAATTTATTAATTTCTAGATAATTAGTAAGTCTTGTATTAATTAAGCGCTCTAAGATTTTTGACATTATTGGGAGCAAGGAAATCGGTCTATAATTGTTTAAACTATGTTTATCTCCACTCTTTAGAATAGGTATTGTAATCGATTTTTTTAAAAACTGTTGGAAACTTACCAGTGGTTATAGCTAAATTACAAATGTGAGTTATGGGTTTGCTAAGTAAATTATTGTTATGTTTAAGCAGGTCACCTGAGATATTATCCAGTCCTACTGCACAACCTGACTAGATTCGATATAAGTAGATCGATTTCCTTCTCATCCGTTGGCAATAAAACAATAGATTTTGAAAAGGGACCTATTTCTGTACGGGTTATTTTATTTAATTGAATGATCTCTCTAGCTAAGTTTTGACCTACATTAACAAAGTATGTGTTTATTTTATTTACTGAGGTTTTTGGGTTATCTGATATTGATAATAATTCATTCGGTGAGTCTTTAGCTTTTTTTAAATGTGTTATCTTTTTTATGGTTTCCCTTAATAATTTAGTATTATTACTTGTTTTATAGGGGCTACACACGATCACTTTTAACTGTCAGTTTTGACTAACCAGTTTTAACTGACAGTTAAAACTGACGTCCTTTGCACCCACACACTTTCAGTTTTAACTGTTCTCTTTGACCACAAACAACATTATCATCTCAAGATGTCATCAGCCGACGACGACGCTTTAGCCGTGCTTGGTATATTAATGATTTTAAAAAATAAAAATAAAAAAAATATACGCAAAGAGTGGTGTATAAAGAGTGGTTAAAAAAAAGGAAAATTTATTCCCATGTTAATTTATTAAACGAACTAAAAATTGTTTCGAAGGATTGGCACAACTATCTCAGAATGAGTGAAGAAATATACCTCAATCTACCTCTAGTGTCTCCACTGATTAGAAGAAAGGATACAGTTATGAGAAATGCTATTTCGCCACATGAGAGATTAACAGCAACGTTACGATTTCTAGCAACAGGACGGAGCTATGAAGATTTAAAGTTTTCCACAATTATTTCACCTCAAGCCCTCAGCAGCATAATACCAGACACATGTGAGGCTTTATTCAAAGTACTTTGCCCAGATTTTTTAAGGGTAAGAAAACTTAGAACATTTAATAATTGCTTTTATTATTTATTATTAAGAAAATTATCAAGAGATGACTTAAAAAAATTAAACTGAATGCGGTTTAGAGGCCTACGATTCATTTTGCATGTACTGAGATAAAAATGAAGCCGCAGTGTTTACTTCTTGTAAAGGTATAGACATTGGGATTGAAATTTGTACCGCTCCTGTATTGTTGTCTAAAAGGTATGGCTGAAGTATGCTCTGTGATTCTGCAGTGTTAGAATTTATTTGTTGTATGGTTGCTCGATCCGATATTTTGGAAACAAGACGTTTAAAATGATCCTGTACAGTTAATAAAACGTCATTGGTTAAAGTTTGATTGAGATTCCTTTTTGTCGGTCTCGGATGGTGAGGTGGTGCCGACGATGATGCTGAATTTCCTGTGTCAGATTCAGAGTGGTTTGAAGCCAAAGATGAACCTGGTCTAGAGTCTAGGTCTTCATTCTGTAACAATAATACATACACAATTAATAATATAATAATATATAATGTTTTATTTTCAGTTTCCCAATACGGAACAAGATTGGAAAAATATTGCTGAAAAGTTTGAGAAGAGATGGAACTTTCCACATTGCTTAGGAGCAATAGATGGAAAGCATGTTTCAATTGCTTTACCCCCTGGATGTGGATCAGAATTTTATAATTATAAAAACCGACATAGCATGGTTTTAATGGCTATTGTGGATGCTCAATACAAGTTCATTTTGTGTGATTTTGGCACAAATGGAAGAATTTCAGATGGTGGAGTATTACGAAACACTGTATTTTTCGAAAAACTTCAAGACAGTAAATTAAACATCCCAGCCGCCGAACTAGTCAAAAATAGCAACAGAAGTTTACCTTACGTATTTGTTGCTGATGATGCGTTTCCATTGAGAACAGACATGATTAAACCATTTAGACAAGCAGATCTTAATACTTATGAGATAAAAAATATACAATTATCGAGTATCAAGAGCAAGGAGAATTGTTGAGAATGCTTTTGGGATTTTAGCGTCTCGGTTCCGTATATTTCACACAGAAATAAACATCGAACCAAAAAATATTGATTCCGTTGTAATGGCATGTTGTGCTCTACACAATTACTTAACTGAAACAAACCAATCCAATTACAGTCCACCTGAAATTCTTGATAGGGAATTTTTTGATAACGGAACAATTATACAGGGAGTGACTTCGGCAGATTCGGAGATGATAGATTTAGATAGAAGACACCAAGGAAATATAACAAATGCAGCCAAGAAAACAAGGGAAGATTTTATGAACTATTTCGTGAATGAAGGACAAGTTCCATGGCAGGATAATTTTATTCGTTAATGTTTTTATAATAGTCTAATATCAATAAACTAAATTATAAAATAAACAATAATAGTTTATTTACTCACGTCATTTGTTTCTTCGTCATCCTCGGAAATATTTGATCTTGAGGATCGTGGTACTTCTTGGTCGGTGAGAAATTGTAGTAAATCGTAATACCATAACTTTGGTATATAAATATCATCTTTGCCAGATCCTGATCTTTGTGACGATTTGACTTTCAAAACTTCTTTTTTGAACGTGCAACGCAGTGTGTTAATTTTACTTTTCACTGTATCTATAGTTGCCGTAGAGTCAATTTCTTTAATTTTTTCTAATAATACCTTGTAAGCTGCTGATTTCCTTTCTCGGTCATGGTACTCCTTACTTTTATTCTGCCATAAGCAAGGTTCATTCCTATATAATTCTATAAACTCGGCCAACCACAGTCTTTGCGTCATTTTTCTGCGTATGCGAAGAGAATAAACATGTACAGACCAGTTTCTTTTTCGTGACCGCAACACGACTGAAGAAACACCGCCTAGACACGTACAGTTTTAACTGATCAGTTCCGTCATTTCAGTTAAAAAATATGTATCAACAATATATCATCAGTTTTAACTGATAATAAAAAAACTGTCAGTTTTCATCGTACACACACTCAGTTTTCACTGTCAGTTAAAACTGGTCAGTCAAAACTGACAGTTAAAAGTGATCGTGTGAGCCCCTATTAGATATCTCATTTTTTTCATAGTATTTTTTACATTAGCTAATATTTTGTTACAAAAATTTCTGTATCTTTTATATGTCAAATTTAAGACTTCATTATTTGGATGTTTTTGACTTTTTTATGGAGATTATCCCTATTTCTAATGCATCTTAAAAGTCCTGGTGTTATCCATGGTTTTCTTATTATTTTTCGCTATAATATATTAATTGTTTTGGTGTGTGAATCAATAATATCTGATAGTGAATTTACCAGATAATCAGTCGCAACATTAACATCAAACATGTTAAAAATTGGTGAAAAGTCAGTATTTTTATTTCTAAGTATACATTATTGTAATTAGTGATTTTCTTAGTCAAATTAGTGCAATAATTATTATTTTTTTAATTTAAAAGCAAGATAACACAGTTATAATCTGTAATTGTTGTCTGAGAAACACAGCAGATTGCTTTGTAATTCGTTTTTAACATAATATGATCCAAGCAGGTTCGATTGTGAGTGGGCAATGTATGTGCAGAAAGGATACCAAATGACGCTAATAAGTTCAAGTAGTTTTCGGCATTGTGAGTATGTTTGTTCTGTTCACAAATATCAATATTAATATCGCCTGCGATAATTATATTTTTATATAAACATATTTTCTGTAATAAATAATTAAGATTCAATAAATTTTGTAACGTCTCTTTGACTAGGAGGCCTATAAAGTGCCACAATAATTGTATCGTTATTTAGCTTAGCTAGCAAACAGTTAGCGCCGATGAAGTTTGGTTCCCTAATAGATATATTTAAATTAATTTTACTATAAATTATCACTCCTTCATTTTGCGTATTGTTATTTAGCGTGTAACTATAACTGTAGCCTTCAATAGGAGGTTATTTGAGAATTTTGTAACCAACATTTAGTCGCGATTATTATGTCAAAACTAATTTTAGATCTTGTTAGTAATGTAATTAGATTATCGTAATGTCTAATGCTGCGCACATTCTGCATTAAAAGTTTTAAGGGTTGATGGTTATTACCTGTAATATGCTTATAGCAGTGTTCTATATCGCAGTATGAGGAGTTTGCTGCTGTTATTGTATCTAAATCGTTCATTATATTCCTTATATTTTCGAATGAATTCGATGTAAAAAACTTAGTTTTAAGGTGCATGAATACTTTAGAACTAAAAATATATTTTATATTTATAAACAAAAATATTTGGTAAATCCTTCTCTTTAATTCTAACAGTATACATAAAGCTATTCACCTGTAACATATGTTTAGTATTAAAAATAATATTACTGGAGGAATCATACGTAATAATAAAATTAAAAGTGAGTTTTTTGTAGTTTAAATGTTTTGGGTGCATGTATTGGTTATTAGAATAAGTGTTCGATATAAAATTAACAATAAAACTAAAGAATAATATTTTAAAACGAAATAACATAAAAAACACACAGAACGCGATTTTTATGTCAAAACTAACTTTAAACCTCGATAGTAATGTAATTAGATTACAAAAACTTTTTCTAATACTGCGCACATTTTGCATTTAGTAGTTTTATGGGCTGATACGAGTAGCGATTGGTTGCAGTATGTTTATAGCTGTGTTCTACATCGCAGTATAAAGATGTTGTTATTTTGATTGTGTCTAGATCGTTAATAATATTCTTTATATTTGCCTTTTGTAATATTTTTTTGAACATGTACAATCCATCATCATGTATTCGATGTAAAAAACTGATTAAGAACTTAGTTTTAAGGTGCGTGAATACTTTAGTACTAAATAAATATTTGATATTTAGGAATAGAAATATTTGGTAAATCCTTGTATTAATTCTAATAGAACACATAAAGCTACTCACCGGTGACATATGTAATATTATAATATTATTACTGGACAAATTATATATAAGAACAATTATAGAACAAGTATAGGTTAATAAAATAAGGATTCGATATAAAGTTAAAAACAAAACTTAAGACTAATGATTTAGAACAAAATAACTTAAAATACATACAGAGTCATAGCTTTGGTTTTGATAGATCTTCTTCACTTTCAATATGAATTGTTTGCATCCCGTCTTTCTTGCGTAGATATATTTTGCCATAAGAAGTCCGGTAACCATCATACGAGGGTGGATTGAAAAGTACTTGGCCTAACCAAGAAAATAAACACATACTAAATCAGTTATATTTTTATTTTTCTACATAATCACCATCAAGTTCAATACACTTTTGCCACCTCCCCTTCCAAGCATTTTGACCGTTGAAAAAAAATGATTCTTCCTTAGAGCCAAAATATGCGTCTACAGTTGCTTTGACCTCGTCGTTTGTCGAAAATCTTTGACCTCCCAAGTGCTTTTTTAGGTTAGGGAACAGAAAGAAGTCTGATGGTGCCAGATTAGGTGAATACGGCGGATGCGGTAACAGTTCAAAGCCACAGTTGTGAATTTCAGCCATTGACTGTACTGACGTGTGAACACGGGCGTTATCTTGATGAAACAAGACTTTTCTTCTGAGCATTCCTCGTTCGTTTTTCTTTTATTTCCTCTCGTAAACGACGTAGTAAGGTGCAGTAGTAATCAGAGTTTATAGTCTGACCCCCTTCAAGATAATCAATCATAATCACACCTTTCGAGTCCCAGAATACTGAAGCCATCACCTTATTTGCCGACAAAATCGACTTAGCCTTTTTAGGGGGTGGTGAACCAGGTCTTCTCCACTGTTTTGATTGTTGTTTTGTTTCCGGTGTACAGTAATGAACCCATGTTTCGTCCATAGTAACAAAACGATTCAAAAAATCATCTGCATCGGCTTCAAATAACTCCAAACAGTCGCGTGAAATAGTCAATCGCGTCCTTTTTTGTTCAACTGAAAGCAGTCGCGGAACCCACCTCGCAGACACCTTGTGGAAACCCAACTCGTTGACAATGATGTTTTGAGTTCGTTCATAAGAGATGCCTATAATCTCGGCTATCTCTTTAATTTTTAATCTGCGGTCTCCCATTATTAAATCAAGTACTTTTTTAATATTTTCGTCAGTAGTTGACGTCGAAGGCCTTCCAGAGCGGGGTTCATCTTTCACAATCTCTCTACCACGCTTAAATTCTGCTATCCATTTTTTGACGGATGAATATGACAGAGCACAATCGCTTAATGTACTGACCATGTCATCATGGATGGCTTTTGATGATAGCCCCTTCTTATGGAGGTACTTAATGACGGCACGCTGCTCGATTTGCTCCATTCGCGGAAATTATGTCCGATTACTTTGTTAATAAATTTATAAAATCACAACTAATTATCGCACACGTTTCGAACTTCGCACAATGAACTAGTCTGAATTGAATGGATCTGTGTTAGGCCGAGTACTTTTCAATCCACCCTCGTAGTTGTGTCGCGAATTGTCTGGCTAAATAACATAACATAAACACTCACGCCTGTCACCCAGAGAGGTAGGCAGAGACTACAGACTTCCATTTGGCACGATCCTGACACACCTCTCTTGCCTCCTTCACATCCATACACCTACGCATACATGCTCGTCGGTTAAGGGTACTCCTAATTTGTCCCGTTTTCAATAAATCGCCAATTTGGTCGATAAATTTTCGCCTAGGACGTCCCTTTCCGACTCTGCCATTCACTTCTGCACCATAAATTTTCTTTGTCACTCTTTCCTCATTCATTCTTTCCACATGACCAAACCACCGAAGCATTCCTTTCTTAATCCTGGTCACAACATCATCTTGCAAACCACACTCTTCTCTTATTACACAATTTCTTACCCTGTCATCCAGATTCAGCCCTAACATACTCCTTAACGACCGCATTTCTACTGCATTTATTCTACTCTCGTGCTTCTTCTGCCACACCCAACTTTCACTACCATACGTTAAAAGTAGGGACCAACACAGCATTGCGAATTGCCATACGTGCCTTTTTCGACACATTTTGACTCTTCACAATAGAGTGCAAGGCCCCATTTACTCTATTTCCCGCATTCACTCGTCGTTCTATATCCTTATCATATCTCCCATCTCTGCTAAATACGCAGCCCAAATATACAAACTCATCTACTTGCTCGATCAACTCCCCTTCTATTCTTATTTCACAAATCGTTTTACTTTCTTCTCTTTCAAAAACCATAACCTTCGTCTTACTTGCGTTCACTTTCATACCCCTTTCTTTTAATGATCCGTTCATTAATGTAACCATCATTTGCAACTCGGCCGCCGACGACGCAAGAATAACTTGATCATCGGCGTACAAAAGGCATTTGACGGTTAACTCACCCATTCTTAATCCGCATTCTTCAACTTTCAAATTTTGCAAACAACTGTCCATAAATAGGTTGAACAGCCACGGGGAAGCCACACAGCCCTGTCTGACACCTTTATGGATGTCAAACCAGTCCGAGTAGACCCCGTTGATCCTAACACAAGCACTAGAGTCCCTATAAATAGACTCCAATGCCTGTATCAAGCCAGTGCTCAACCCAAATGAGTTCAGTGTTTGCCATAGCAAATCCATATCCACTCTGTCATAGGCCTTTTCCAAGTCCATGAAAGCACAAAAAACCTTTTGGTTTTTGGCCAGAAACTTCTCCGCGATCATGCGCATGGAAAATACTTGATCTGTACATCCCATTCCCTTTCTAAATCCCGCTTGCACATCCCAAATTTTTCCATCAGTTTCTTTCATGACCCTTTCAATCAATACCTTAGCATACAGTTTTCCCACAATGCTAAGAAGGCTGATGCCACGGTAGTTTTTACAGTCCTGCTGCGACCCTCTTCCTTTATATACTGGGACTATCACGGCTTTGCACCAGTCTACCGGTACCCGCTTCAGTTCCCAGCATAAATTAAACAAGGTGTGCAGCAGGCCTGCCACCACTTCCTCTCCAGCCCTTAGCATTTCGAGTGAAACTCTATCATATCCGGCAGCCTTACCTGCTTTCATGGTTTTCATTGCTTTCATTATTTCATCTATACTTATCTCGCTACCTCTTTCCTCTTCTTTCGGTGTTTCTACTTCACTTAGTACACACGTTGTCTCCTCACTCATAAACACGCTTTCTAAATATTCCTTCCATCTCTTTAAACTCAAAACTTCATCATTCAGAATATAGCCATTCTCGTCTCTTATAGCATTCATCATAGGCTGTTTTGAATGTCCCCTGGCAGTTCTTACAAGTATCCAGAACATTTTAATATTTGCCTGGAAGTTATCCGATATTCTTCTATCATTCTTATCCGTTCTTTCTTGCTTTTTTCTTTCAACTGCTTCTTTTACTCTCTTATTAAGATGTCTAAAGACTGCCTTTTTTCTTTCAATATCACCATTCGTACCACTAGAATTAGCAGCCTTTGTTGCTAGTAAATCTAGCCATGCTCTCTTCTTTGCTTCAACTTCCATACGTATCTCCATCATCCCACCATAACGTATTATTTTTCCTTTCATTCTTTCTCTTACTAACACCACATACTTCGGTAGCTGCATCCACTAAACTTTTCTTTACATTTTGCCATATATTTTCCAAGTCTAACTCCTTCATACATAATTCATCCAAACCACTTATATTTTCTTTCAGTCTACATTTGAACTTGTTTTTATCACTTTCATCTTGTACTTGACATAGACGATCGATGGCGCCAACGCCTGAATAGACCATTAATTCGGCACAAAACTAAATAATGATCCGTTCCTACGTTAGAACCCCGGTAAACTCTCGTATCTACCACTGCGCCCCTCAATCTTTCATCCACAATTATGAAATCTATCATGCTTCTATCGTCACCTCTTTCCCAAGTATACATGTGAATCCTCTTGTGGCGAAAGCAAGTGTTCGTCACAAAAAGATTCTTTTCCATACATACGGTGAGGAGACTTTCACCATTCTCATTTATACTTTCATCACCAAACGTTCCCAATATTCTTTCATAACCAAGCCTCCTGACCCCAACCCTTCCATTAAAATCTCCTAGCATAATAATATTTTCATTTCCCTTACACTTCATTAACACCATCCTTACCATTTCCTAAAACTGCTCTCGGATATAAGTGGGCTTAGACATGTCTGGGGCGTAGACCCTTAACACAAACAACTTCTTTAAGCCCACTTTCATTCGTATCCATAGCAGTCTTGGGCTTACACATTCTTACTCTTTCACACATTGGCCCATTCTTTCTGAAAGGATGATACCTACTCCCTGGCATGCCCGCTCGATCTCGTCTACACCAGACCAGTATGCGGTATACATGCCATGTGTAGTGACATCCTTCCCCTTCCTTTTCGTCTCATTTACGCATAACACATCTATTCCTCTATCATACATCATATCGCATACTTCATCCATTTTATCATTCATTGCCCCACATACATTCAACGTAGCCAGACGGGCCTCTGCAATCCACTTTTCGCCTCTCCGGGAGACAGAACGTGACGGGTGGTGAACCTCGTCGCCGGTCTGTGTCTGGCTAAATAGTGTAATCTTTTTTGCCCTTGGTGTTAAGTATTCCGCTATAAAAATGAACTTGGAGGATCCTTTTAATTTAAAAGTTCAGTGTTTAGGCGTTGAGTTTTATTGTTTATGTTGTACAATCTGGCAGACCGTATAAAATTTTCCTTTAGAGTTGGCTTCATAAAGTCAATTATTATTGGGCTAAATTCCTTATTTTAAGCCTTTTGCCGAAAAACATCTTTTATGTCCGTGTCGAGGATGTTTATATTAATAATTTCTCCCAATTTCTTGACCAAGGAAATAAGTACATTTTTATTTTCATAATGGGTTCGTGGAATATTTTTTATTTCTGCCATTGTGGATCTCGCATTACGTTCCAAAAGTTCAATTTTCTGCTCAAGAGAGTTTATGAGACATGTTTTCAAACTATTTTCTTCTTTGATATGTTCTAATTCCTTTAAAACATCGTCATACTTTGCAGATAGGAATGAAATGGACTCACGAATTTCGACGTTTTGCTGCTTGATCTCATTAATTGATGTGATTAAAGTTTCAATCTTTTGGTTCTGTTGTTTATTAAAATCATTAAACATACGGCGCAATTCCTGCATTAACGACGGTTCTTCACTCGGCTCAGGAATCTTTCTTTTTCGTCAAAGTGCTACATTCATTATCACTTTCCATAAGAATATTAAGATTAGGATCCGATCCGTGTAGCTGTATTCGGGTTTTATTACCAGATAAATTTAATGTATTTGGTGGAGTACGCTGTGTTGACATTATATTATGTGGATATAAAATACTTAAGCAGGCTGACGGTAACTATCTTCGCAGTTAGGGCGGAGTCACTGTTGCGTCAGTTTGTATCGATATCTTTGTTTAATTGTTATGTCCTACTCACGCCTCGTCACTGCAGTTAACGTTCAACGCACTCTTTATGCACTGCGTTCCTAGTAGCTCGATGTATTTAACTAATACGACGTTGAAAAATATTATTTTTAAATTCAAGTAAAATATAAGAAACACGTCCGATGTCCACCGAAGCCCGAGGGGAAGGATATTAATAAATGAATATTACAATTAGGCATACCATACGTTACGTTTTTCAATTTTTTTTATTAATTTTTGTTTCTCTTTTATCAAATAATTATGTTCTAGTGGCAATTTTTGAGATCAATATTGCATTGTACTACACATGATTATTATAATTATGTAGGTAATCTTACAAAATAAACCTTTAAAATACCACAGAAAAGTTATTTTTGTCATTTCACGGCAACAATTTTGGGATTTGTTCAAATCACTAGATTTCTTTAGTGGGATTTGTCACATCACCAGATTTTCTTAGGGAAATGATAAAATCGTGTTATTATTTTAACATCCTCCGTGATTTGATCAAATCCCTTAGGGGTTTGGCCAAATCCCTTTTTATCATATCCCTTCGACATATATACTACACATTTACATTACTTAATAAGGATTTATACTTTTATTATGTTTTGTGTAAGTTCATCCTATGCTGTAAGTATGTTCAAATTGTTCATGGCTCTGTTTTTCAATTTGTAGTAAAGAGAAGACTGTCAATAGGTTTCTTAAACGCTGGCTCCCTAGGCACCAGCCATGATGAGTTTTTCGTAGCAATGTCACGATATCAGGTAGACGTAATGGCTATCAACGAAACGTGGATAAGAGAGGGCGAAGAGGGCCGTGCACCGTCACCGCCGTGATATCGGTTCCATCACGTAACGCGTCCCACCGAATTGCGTGCACGTGGTGGTGGAGTTGGATTTTAGGTTAGGAACCCTTCTAGCAACTTAGTAGAACAAATGTGGCTAGGATTAAGTATTAACGGCATCATAGTAGCGATTGGTATGGCCTATCGTGACCCGTGGGTAAATGTCGATAGTTTTATTGATGCCCTCAAGCAATCCGTTTCTTCTTTTGGTCCATCCTGCAATGAAAGTAGATACGTAATATATATATCCGGCATTCAATGGGTTGCGTACGTTTATAGTGCTCGTGAATACGGCATCATGTTAATGTGCCTTGGAGAATCTCGCGGGAATGCTTCGCGTGCATTAAGAATTTACAATTTACAATTTTATAACGTATCGCTAAATTGTTAAGGTGTCGGGATGGAACAAGTGTGTTTATACTGAAGAGTTCATAAGGTGTAAACGCGTAAGCCGAGCACCAAACCCGATGGTTGGTTAACGTATATGCAGGGTTATTTACGGATTTAGATCGATAAGCTGTTTCATACCTAATTTTTTTAAACAACTTAGTACTGAACTGATTTGAATAGGTTCATAACTGAATACATCAGAATAATAAACATACCTACTAAATAATTTAAGTAAATTTTTCATAACCGGACAATAGAACCAGGTATTTTACTTAACCTGTGATTTCGAATTAAAGTGGCTAGGTGGAGACTAGCACAGTGGCATAATAGTAATAAGTAAATAATTTAGGTATTTAGACAAATGTTGTAAGTTATTAGGTATTGGTACGATCGCGGGCTGCGTGCCGCGCACACTTGAGTAGATAAATTACTTATGAGCCGCGCGTGTTTGGCATCGCGCGTAATTGACCCTATCAGCTGATGTTCGTTATTTGAAGTTCCACTGCTGGTTTTATATTTAAGTATTTTCATGATTTTTTTAATGAAAATATCGTTTCATTTATCTGTACTAACATGATAGAGCGTGGACAAAGCTAAATAAACGTTGTAACGTTGTTTTTATTTTCATTGGAATCAATTTTATTTTCGTCCCATCACCAAAGGTATTCTTAGAATTACAGATGATACTGTATATTCCGCAAAATGTTACGGATTCAAAGTTATACAAAATTTTCCAAAATATCTAAATATCTGTACCTTGAATCAGATTTTTAAGCATTTCGTAATGTAAAATTCCTTTCCTACTATTTTTTTTACATCAATTTATTGGTGAATAGCCACTTCACTCAACGATAAATCTTTTTTCTATTAAAAACGAGAACGCGTTCACGAAATACATTTTTTAAATATTTTTCACTGAACGATTTTCTTATTGCTTAACTTTAACCCACAGTGGTGAAAAAAAAATGTATGTGACAGTTGTACAACAAACTTAAGAAATAGCTTGTTTGATGGTGGTTTCAGAAAGATACAACACTAGCGCATTTTCTTTAAAAATAATTAAAAATATGCTATGCTTGTTACAGATAAGCCGATATTATTTAAAATGCAATTAACGTAATTTTGACACAAACTAACGCGTCATTGCTCAATCACGCAAATTATTATAAAACAAGTTTTAACACCTTAAATGCGACATGCACTCATAATGGATAAAGGAGTTACCTGCTCGCCGACCCGACCCGACTGCTTATTGTCTAACCAAAAGAAGCCAATGTGCTATATCGCAATGATATTATAAATAAAAAGAGGTAGATATCGCACTGGCGCGCAAAAATTGTTGCGAACGAATTCAGACAATTGTCGTAATTTGTTTTAGTCGGCTAATAGCACAGAACACTATTACTCCGCTAATAGCAGCGAGCGAAACGAAGCGTGTCTGTGTCGTGCCTATATCTACCTAAATGGCCAAGTAGTGTGTTACGAAAGTGTAAAAACTATAGTTCCAAGAAAAATAAGAGTGTAGGAGTTTCATACTATACGTAAGTATATTAAAATAATGTCATATTTATATATATTTTTTTCACGATTTTATTTCTCATTTACAAAATACATTTCGAATTATTAATATGGTGGTTCGAAAAGGAAAGTGAATATGATGACAACTGCAGCGCGACAAGGACAAATAGCCATGCGTCATAGATTAATCAACCAGAAGCGAAATCGTAGGCAGAATACACAGCGTTCGTTGACCGCTTGAGTTAGTTTGTTTAGTTTGTTAGCGTCTTTCTAATAATAATATTAAGATGATATAGAATTAAATTAGTAATAGCGGAATATTCAATATTATTTTATTACTCGATTAGAAGGTATACCTTAGATAAAACATTTATTTTTTATTATGTTTTTGTTATCTTACCTCAAGCCCTCAGCAGCATAATACCAGACACATGTGAGGCTTTATTCAAAGTACTTTGCCCACATTTTTTAAGGGTAAGAAAACTTAGAACATTTAATAATTGCTTTTATTATTTATTATTAAGAAAATTATCAAGAGATGACTTAAAAAAATTAAACTGAATGCGGTTTAGAGGCCTACGATTCATTTTGCATGTACTGAGATAAAAATGAAGCCGCAGTGTTTACTTCTTGTAAAGGTATAGACATTTCAGGGATTGAAATTTGTACTGCTCCTGTATTGTTGTCTAAAAGGTATGGCTGAAGTATGCTCTGTGATTCTGCAGTGTTACAATTTATTTGTTGTATTGTTGCTCGATCCGATATTTTGTGGTCAATAGTCAATTTATCCATTTCAGCTAAGAATAGAGCTTCGTTTATAATACCTTCCGCTAAAATGCGTTGTTCTTTAGGAAGATCACGCAACTTCATTGCCACGTTTTTCCCAAAAATATTGAAACGATCATCCCGCTGTACAGGACTTTTAAAATGATCCTGTACAGTTAATAAAACGTCATTGGTTAAAGTTTGATTGAGATTCCTTTTTGTCGGTTTCGGATGGTGAGGTGGTGCCGACGATGATGCTGAATTTCCTGTGTCAGATTCAGAGTGGTTTGAAGCCAAAGATGAACCTGGTCTAGAGTCTAGGTCTTCATTCTGTAACAATAATACATACACAATTAATAATATAATAATACATAATGTTTTATTTTCAGTTTCCCAATACGGAACAAGATTGGAAAAATATTGCTGAAAAGTTTGAGAAGAGATGGAACTTTCCACATTGCTTAGGAGCAATAGATGGAAAGCATGTTTCAATTGCTTTACCCCCTGGATGTGGATCAGAATTTTATAATTATAAAACCGACATAGCATGGTTTTAATGGCTATTGTGGATGCTCAATACAAGTTCATTTTGTGTGATTTTGGCACAAATGGAAGAATTTCAGATGGTGGAGTATTACGAAACACTGTATTTTTCGAAAAACTTCAAGACAGTAAATTAAACATCCCAGCCGCCGAACTAGTCAAAAATAGCAACAGAAGTTTACCTTACGTATTTGTTGCTGATGATGCGTTTCCATTGAGACAGACATGATTAAACCATTTAGACAAGCAGATCTTAATACTTATGAGAAAAAAATATACAATTATCGAGTATCAAGAGCAAGGAGAATTGTTGAGAATGCTTTTGGGATTTTAGCGTCTCGGTTCCGTAAATTTCACACAGAAATAAACATCTGTGGCCGTGAAAGGAAAAGGGGAGATCTCCCGCCGGGCAAGGTGTTCTGCCCGGGGAGCGGCCAACACTCCATGTGATAGTTCGGAGAAGTTCTATATATACTGTCTATGATTCGGAAAGTTAATAGCGCGATTTAGGCTTCGGTGTGTTTTCACTTGTGGCGCGACGACAGCGCCGCTACATCACCCCCCTGCTCAAACTGGAGGTCGATAGTGCAGTCTCGTTGTCGACGAATGTGCAGGTGCTAGGAGAGTGCCTTGTAGTCTGCGGTGAGTCGAGAAGAAGGCAAGTAATCTGCGAGAGTGCCGTGAAGCAGAGGCGAGCAGTAAGTCTCAGAGCCGTGCCGAACACTGTAGCGCAGAGTGTAGCTTGAAGGAACAGGAAGCATTATTATTCCAGTGCTGGGATGAACCTTGTGAAGCTAGATGGCTTGCAGGATATGAAGACTGCAGACGATATCTGCTCGGGAGCGAATGGGTGGGGTATTCTATGACGATAATAAGCTTGAAGTTTCCGAAGGTTGTTTGGTTGCGTGTTCAAGATCACGTCGGGGTCACCACTGTAGCCAGGGAAGGAAAAGGGGAGATCTCCCGCCGGGCAAGGTGTTCTGCCCGGGGAGCGGCCAACACTCCATGTGATAGTTCGGAGAAGTTCTATATATACTGTCTATGATTCGGAAAGTTAATAGCGCGATTTAGGCTTCGGTGTGTTTTCACTTGTGGCGCGACGACAGCGCCGCTACACATCGAACCAAAAAATATTGATTCCGTTGTAATGGCATGTTGTGCTCTACACAATTACTTAACTGAAACAAACCAAGCCAATTACAGTCCTCCTGAAATTCTTGATAGGGAATTTTTTGATAACGGAACAATTATACAGGGAGTGACTTCGGCAGATTCGGACATGATAGATTTAGATAAAAGACACCAAGGAAATATAACAAATGCAGCCAAGAAAACAAGGGAAGATTTTATGAACTATTTCGTGAATGAAGGACAAGTTCCATGGCAGGATAATTTTATTCGTTAATGTTTTTATAATAGTCTAATATCAGTAAACTAAATTATAAAATAAACAATAATAGTATTTATTTACTCACGTCATTTGTTTCTTCGTCATCCTTGGAAATATTTGATCTTGAGGATCGTGGTACTTCTTGGTCGGTGAGAAATTGTAGTAAATCGTAATACCATAACTTTGGTATATAAATATCATCTTTGCCAGATCCTGATCTTTGTGACGATTTGACTTTCAAAACTTCTTTTTTGAACGTGCAACGCAGTGTGTTAATTTTACTTTTCACTGTATCTATAGTTGCCGTAGAGTCACTTTCTTTAATTTTTTCTAATAATACCTTGTAAGCTGCTGATTTCCTTTCTCGGTCATGGTACTCCTTACTTTTATTCTGCCATAAGCAAGGTTCATTCCTATATAATTCTATAAACTCGGCCAACCACAGTCTTTGCGTCATTTTTCTGCGTATGCGAAGAGAATAAACATGTACAGACCAGTTTCTTTTTCGTGATCGCAACACGACTGAAGAAACACCGCCTACACACGTACAGTTTTAACTGATCAGTTCCGTCATTTCAGTTAAAAAATATGTATCAACAATATATCATCAGTTTTAACTGATAATAAAAAAACTGACAGTTTTCATCGTACACACACTCAGTTTTCACTGTCAGTTAAAACTGGTCAGTCAAAACTGACAGTTAAAAGTGATCGTGTGTACCCCTATTAAATCTCATTTTTTTCATAGTATTTTTTACATTAGCTAATATTTTGCTACAAAAATTTCTGTATCTTTTATATGTCAAATTTAAGACTTCATTATTTGGATGTTTTTGACCTTTTTATGGAGATTATCCCTATTTCTAATGCATCTTAAAAGTCCTGGTGTTATCCACGGTTTTCTTATTATTTTTCGCTATAATATATTAATTGTTTTGGTGTGTGAATCAATAATATCTGATAGTGAATTTACCAGATAATCAGTCGCAACATTAACATCAAACATGTTAAAAATTGGTGAAAAGTCAGTATTTTTATTTCTAAGTATACATTATTGTAATTAGTGATTTTCTTAGTCAAATTAATGCAATAACTATTATTTTTTTAATTTAAAAGCAAGATAACACAGTTATAATCTGTAATTGTTGTCTGAGAAACACATCAGATTGCTTTGTAATTCGTTTTTAACATAAATATGATCCAAGCAGGTTCGATTGTGAGTGGGCAATGTATGTGCAGAAAGGATATCAAATGACGCTAATAAGTTCAAATAGTTTTCGGCATGAGTATGTTTGTTCTGTTCACAAATATCAATATTAATATCGCCTGCGATAATTATATTTTTATATAAACATATTTTCTGTAATAAATAATTAAGATTCAATAAATTTTGTAACGTCTCTTTGACTAGGAGGCCTATAAAGTGCCACAATAATTGTATCGTTATTTAGCTTAGCTAGCAAACAGTTAGCGCCGATAAAGTTTGGTTCGCTAATAGATATATTTAAATTAATTTTACTATAAATTATCACTCCTTCATTTTGCGTATTGTTATTTAGCGTGTAACTATAACTGTAGCCTTCAATAGGAGGTTATTTGAGAACTTTGTAACCAACATTCAGTCGCGATTATTATGTCAAAACTAATTTTAGATCTTGTTAGTAATGTAATTAGATTATCGTTTTAATGCTGCGCACATTCTGCATTAAAAGTTTTAAGGGTTGATGGTTATTACCTGTAATATGCTTATAGCAGTGTTCTATATCGCAGTATGAGGAGTTTGCTGCTGTTATTGTATCTAAATCGTTAATTATATTCCTTATATTTTCACCTTATGTAATATTTTTTTAAACAATCTTTCATCATGAATTCGATGTAAAATATTAAAAACTTAGTTTTAAGGTGCATGAATATTTTAGAACTAAAAATATATTTTATATTTATAAACAAAAATATTTGGTAAATACTTCTCTTAATTCTAACAGTATACATAAAGCTATTCACATGTAACATATGTTTAGTACTAAAAATAATATTACTGGAGGAATCATACGTAATAATAAAATTAAAAGTGAGTTTTTTGTAGTTTAAATGTTTTGGGTGCATGTATTGGTTATTAGAATAAGTGTTCGATATAAAATTAACAATAAAACTAAAGAATAATATTTTAAAACGAAATAACATAAAAAACACACAGAACGCGATTTTTATATCAAAACTAACTTTAAACCTCGATAGTAATGTAATTAGATTACAAAAACTTTTTCTAATACTGCGCACATTTTGCATTTAGTAGTTTTATAGACTGATACGAGTAGCGATTGGTTGCAGTACGTTTATAGCTGTGTTCTACATCGCAGTATGAAGAGGTTGTTGTTTTGATTGTGTCTAGATCGTTAATAATATTCTTTATATTTGCCTTTTGTAATATTTTTTTGAACATGTACAATCCATCATCATGTAATCGATGTAAAAAACTGATTAAGAACTTAGTTTTAAGGTGCGTGAATACTTTAGTACTAAATAAATATTTAATATTTAGGAATAAAAATATTTGGTAAATCCTTGTATTCATTCTAATAGAACACATAAAGCTACTCACCGGTGACATATGTAATATTATAATATTATTACTGGACAAATTATATATAAGAACAAAGTTAAAAGTGTGTTTTATGTAGTGTAAATATTAAGGTTCATTATAAAGTTAAAAACAAAACTTAAGGCTAATAATTTAGAACAAAATAACTTAAAATACATACAGAGTCATAGCTTTCGTTTTGATAGATCTTCTTCACTTTCAATATGAATTGTTTGCATCCCGTCTTTCTTGCGTAGATATATTTTGCCATAAGAAGTCCAGCAACCATCATAGTTGTGAGCCTTCGCGAATTGTCTGGCTAAATAACATAACATAAACACTCACGCCTGTCACCCAGAGGGGTAGGCAGAGACTACAGACTTCCATTTGGCACGATGCTGACACACCTCTCTTGCCTCCTTCACATCCATACACCTACGCATACATGCTCGTCGGTTAAGGGTACTCCTAATTTTGCCCGTTTTCAATAAATCGCCAATTTGGTCGATAAATTTTCGCCTAGGACGTCCCTTTCCGACTCTGCCATTCACTTCTGCACCATAAATTTTCTTTGTCACTCTTTCCTCATTCATTCTTTCCACATGACCAAACCACCGAAGCATTCCTTTCTTAATCCTGGTCACAACATCATCTTGCAAACCACACTCTTCTCTTATTACACAATTTCTTACCCTGTCATTCAGATTCAGCCCTAACATACTCCTTAACGACCGCATTTCTACTGCATTTATTCTACTCTCGTGCTTCTTCTGCCACACCCAACTTTCACTACCATACGTTAAAAGTAGGGACCAACACAGCATTGTGAATTGCCATACGTGCCTTTTTCGACACATTTTGACTCTTCACAATAGAGTGCAAGGCCCCATTTACTCTATTTCCCGCATTCACTCGTCGTTCTATATCCTTATCATATCTCCCATCTCTGCTAAATACGCAGCCCAAATATACAAACTCATCTACTTGCTCGATCAACTCCCCTTCTATTCTTATTTCACAAATCGTTTTACTTTCTTCTCTTTCAAAAACCATAACCTTCGTCTTACTTGCGTTCACTTTCATACCCCTTTCTTTTAATGATCCGTTCATTAATGTAACCATCATTTGCAACTCGGCCGCCGACGACGCAAGAATAACTTGATCATCGGCGTACAAAAGGCATTTGACGGTTAACTCACCCATTCTTAATCCGCATTCTTCAACTTTCAAATTTTGCAAACAACTGTCCATAAATAGGTTGAACAGCCACGGGGACGCCACACAGCCCTGTCTGACACTTTATGGATGTCAAACCAGTCCGAGTAGACCCCGTTGATCCTAACACAAGCACTAGAGTCCCTATAAATAGACTCCAATGCCTGTATCAAGCCAGTGCTCAACCCAAATGAGTTCAGTGTTTGCCATAGCAAATCCATATCCACTCTGTCATAGGCCTTTTCCAAGTCCATGAACGCACAAAAAACCTTTTGGTTTTTGGCCAGAAACTTCTCCGCGATCACGCGCATGGAAAATACTTGATCTGTACATCCTATTCCTTTTCTAAATCCCGCTTACACATCCCAAATTTTTCCATCAGTTTCTTTCATGACCCTTTCAATCAGTACCTTAGCATACAGTTTTCCCACAATGCTAAGAAGGCTGATGCCACGGTAGTTTTTACAGTCCTGCTGCGACCCTCTTCCTTTATATACTGGGACTATCACGGCTTTGCACCAGTCTACCGGTACCCGCTTCAGTTCCCAGCATAAATTAAACAAGGTGTGCAGCAGGCCTGCCACCACTTCCTCTCCAGCCCTTAGCATTTCGAGTGAAACTCTATCATATCCGGCAGCCTTACCTGCTTTCATGCTTTTCATTGCTTTCATTATTTCATCTATACTTATCTCGCTACCTCTTTCCTCTTCTTTCGGTGTTTCTACTTCACTTAGTACACACGTTGTCTCCTCACTCATAAACACGCTTTCTAAATATTCCTTCCATCTCTTTAAACTCAAAACTTCATCATTCAGAATATAGCCATTCTCGTCTCTTATAGCATCATAGGCTGTTTTGAATGTCCCCTGGCAGTTCTTACAAGTTTCCAGAACATTTTAATATTTGCCTGGAAGTTATCCGATATTCTTCTATCATTCTTATCCGTTCTTTCTTGCTTTTTTCTTTCAACTACTTCTTTTACTCTCTTATTAAGATGTCTAAAGACTGCCTTTTTTCTTTCAATATCACCATTCGTACCACTAGAATTAGCAGCCTTTGTTGCTAGTAAATCTAGCCATGCTCTCTTCTTTGCTTCAACTTCCATACGTATCTCATCATTCCACCATAACGTATTATTTTTCCTTTCATTCTTTCTCTTACTAACACCACATACTTCGGTAGCAGCATCCACTAAACCTTTCTTCACATTTTGCCATATATTCTCCAAGTCTAACTCCTTCATACATAATTCATCCAAACCACTTATATTTTCTTTCAGTCTACATTTGAACTTGTTTTTATCACTTTCATCTTGAATAAAACTATTATTTACGGATTTTATCGCGTTTAATTACTTTAATTTATTTTTATTATTATCCCGACGTTTCGGGTGCTTTACAGCGCCCATGGTCACGGGGGGGACTGAGATGTTTGACGTCCCAATGTCATAGTTAGTCCGGCTACCTTCAGTTTTTTAATATTAATTTTTGGTCCGATTTACGCAAAACGAGCTTATAGTATCATAGCTTATAGAGCAGGCGCGCGCTCGACTGTGGCCGGCTTCACTCGTTCACTGTGACACAATGGAGTTAGAGGCAAATAATTCGTTAGCTTTCCTAGATGTTTTAGTCATCCGAAATCCTGATAACACTATTGGTCAC